ATTAAGAAAAAGAAATATTTAATAGGTCTAAATAAAATTTGAATTAACCAAGGTGATAAAGAAATTAAAATATTGGTTATTCTAATATCAAATATCAATAATCTATATTCTACTGATAACTATGTTGAAATAAATTTTTATTATTATCAATCATAGTTTCTAATGCTTTTATATGTTTTGGCTTATTCTTTGTTTTTAAATAAGTGAATAAAGTAATTTTACAGCAAATAATTTCTCTAGAATTATTTTCAGTAATTATCATAAATATTTCTAATAAAAGCTCCCTTGCATCTGAATATTAATATAAAAATCTTGGAATTAATTAAGGTTTTTCAGACATTGTATTGCAAGAACTTGTTAATTCATTTGCTAAAAATGAGATTCAGTTATATTGTTTTTAATTATCTGAACTATAATTATAATTTTAGGGCAATTAAATTTATTGTATCATGATGTAATTATTTATTCATAATATATTTAGGTCTAAATTTCAACTAGAAGAAAAGATCCAAAAACAATAATTGTTTTATTTATTAATTATGCCATTATTAGATTTTATAATATGAACACTGAAAATTAAAAAAATTATAACTTTAATTTAACTAATTTGATGCTTTTAAGATTTACTGCAAAAAAAAATATTTAACTTAACTTTACTCATTCCTTTGATATGTGTTTCAATATATAGTATTAAAATAAGTAATCTATTTATTTTTATTAAAAATTGTTTGTTTAATCATTTTCAATCTTCAACCTTCTATATACATAATATAAGGTTTCTAAGATAACTCTATTGAATTTTGCTATTAGATGTTATCAACAAATTCATTCAATAAGCTCATTCTAATACATCCTTAATATATATCAAATAAGATGAAACAAATTATGAGCATTAAATAATGTTAATAAGGATATAAATAATAATTGTTATTTCAATCAATTTATAATGATGTTAATAAAATATATGCTATCAGTATTTGAATGCAGGCTCATTTTTATGTTACTCAGATAGTATAATATCAATTATAGTAAAATAGAAATCAAAGATAGAATTCATTGACAACTTATAAATGTGACTGAGGAAACTAACTATTATAATTACTAAATTATTTCAATAATATCATTTAAACTTATTTGCCTTATTATAAAATTTAGAACTATTTGGATTAACATTAAAAAAATAGGAAGAAATTTATCCATATTAATAGAATTTCCAGTTACTAGTATATGAATAGATTTTCAAAGACTATAGTAAATATCATAATTTATAATTTCATATTATCTTAAATGCTTCTTTATATAAATTGATCAGAAAAGATGATGTCATTAATAACTTATAAATTCTGATAACATATTCAGATTATTAGAAAAATATATATTATTTATATTAATTTTATGTTACTAAACCTTTAAAAGGAGTTAGAGCTATTACAAACTAATAATCAAGAATAAAATTACAAACTTTAGAATATATTTCACAATTTCAGCATAACCAATAATTAATTTAAGGGTTTGTATATTTAAATTCCAAATCCTTAGAATCTGTTAAATAAAGTTAGACCAGAGATTTTTAATTAAATTTTAGAATTTGTTGATCTTAAATCTTACTTAAGTTTTGGATTAGTTAGCAGAAGAGCCTATTAAACTATAATCCGAATGATGCCAAATAGGATTGCTTAAATTCAATAAATCTTAATGAGAAGAAAATAAAAATTATAATATCTAATGGAACAAAATTCAGAAGATGATCTTTTTTAGGATTTACTTTAGAGAAAACAAAATGCTGAATAAAGTTTAGATGTATTGACAAAAAGGGATATAAATGAGATGAAAAAAATGTCTCATCCCCCAGTAATTGTTGAGAAGGTAATGGCGATGGTGTGCATTTTATTTATTTCATAATTCAAAGACGAAAATTTAAATTGGGCATCATGTTTAAAGATAATCGAAAACATATAATTTATATAACAACTAAAATGTTTAGATATTGAAAATATAAATGATAAACAATTAAAAGTGCTTTAAAATGTGCACTCAATATCAGAATAATAAGTTTAAAGAGTTTCATAAGCTTGCCTTTCTTTTTATTTCTTTATAAGAGCTGTTGTTGAAATTAGAGAATCCAAGATTTATAAAGTAAAAAGTTAAAAAGATTTATTTGAGAAATAGATAAAAAAAGACTAAATGGCTTTGTTGTATCTTCAAAAAATGAATGGCTGATTAATATAAATACAAAATTAATTTAATCATTCTAAAAAAAAACATTATTATTAGAAAAATTATGATAATATTGTAACATCATTTGTCTCTTACCAAAAAATATATAAATATTTTCATTATCACTGAATAAAGTGAATTTTTTATATTATGAATATCAGATTTTGCAATATTTATCATGTAACTTCTGAATGTTAATACTTTATATTAAATCTTAATTTTAGTTCTACATATTTCGGTAAAGTAATATGAGATTCCATGATATTTCATTATATTGGATTAAAGATAATGAAATAGGCATATTGAAAATAATAGTAAAAATATTATTATAGAAACTAAAAATGGTTGAAAAGAAAAATGCAATTAAAATTTATATTTTTACAAATAAACACAATGATATCTTAATCTTTAATAATATCTTCATATTCTGGATATTTATTATCTGAAAAATTTTGTTAATACTATTCAATCTCTCTTTTAACTTATATAATTATATAATTTCTACATAATATTAATTAATTAGATTTCTATGATTTAAACTTTTGCTTTATTTTTGCAATTCTTGTTATGCTTATCACAATGGATTAGTTCATATACAAATTTGATTAATGATAAGAATTTGACAACATTCTCTTAAGTTGGGCCAAGTAATAGCAATTATCTTGTATGCAATTCACCCTAAATAAAATACTTGACTTTAAATAGAGATTATCCTACTGCCACTCAGAAAAAATAAATTAGTTTAGAGAAAGGTAATCACATATCATTTGAATTAATTCTATAAGGTACTTGGTAAAATGGATAAATTTAATTTTAATTTGGAGCAGAAATAATTTCATTTTAATATTAAACTCCTAACTCGTTTGAAAACTTCTCAATCATTTGTGATTCTTACTAATCAGAAATTAAAACAATTAATTTTATTTTACAAAAATCAGATTCAAATATAATAAAATTTACAATGTCTAATGAAGGAAATGGATAGGTTTCAATTAGAAATTTATTAATATCAAAAATTAAATGCCATTATTTATGCACACAATGTAATGGCATAGAGTATAATTAATGTACTTAGTGTTTTTATGGAACACCTTTGGATGGCATTTGTAATGAATGTCCTCTAAATATGGTATTTAGACCTGGAATTGGATGCTCATTATTTTGCAATTATTAGGAATATCTTGACTTTAATCGACATTGTTAATAATATCCCAGTAAATTTTTATATAATCAAAAAAGGTAGGCAAATATTGTTTTCTGATTACTATATGGTTGAAGAGTAGGTTAAAATGGAACTTATATTAGATACAGAGAATACAAATCATATTCCCATTTATATGTCGTATGTTGGGAGATATGATCTTTTAGGGGTCTTTAGATATAACTAAGGAACTAAAAGATTGATAACTGAAGTAACAACTAACATTGGAACCTATTTAATTGGAATCAGAACAGTTATAATTCTTTATAATGAAATACCATGTGGTAGTAGCATTTCATTAAAAATTAATGACACTTATGCAGGGTCGGTATATAATGATTGTCAATAATTACAATTTCATAAATTAAGATTAGTATATATTGATATCCTTAAACTTTATTAAAGTTATACTAATCGTTAGGCTTATTATTTGTTTTTGCTCCTCGATATTCCTTAATATCAATTTACTTTATCTATTGTTGGAAATTACATGTAATATTTAATTAAAATATCAAGTGATCTTTCAGCAACTTGGGCATACGAGAACATAAATTTGAATTCTGGCTATTGCCCAGAGAATTGTCAACTATGTGAATTACCAAATGAATGTAAAATATGTTATCCAACCTTTTATAAATACAGAGATGGTTAATGTATACTTTGCACTGCTCCATATCAAAAATTGGATGGTTCTTATTGTAAAGATTATGATGATGAAACATTATGTAAAAAATACTATATTCTTAGATTCTGAATATTTAATTAAAGAATACTATGACTTAGCAATTGATCCTAATTAATTTTCACGATACACTCTCATCTCTAAGAATGGGATAAATTTTATGAAAGGTTCTGATATCTTATATTCTATCTATTATGGTACCTACTTAATTTTTGGAGGTGAATTAGTTTGGGCTTAAGCCAAATTTTCTAGGGTGCATTAGATTATTAAACCACATCATAGTATAACAATAGGATTTTATATATTATTTGGGCCATCCTTCCCATAAGATAGTCAATTTATATATACAATAGGATCAAACAATCCTGTTATTACATTTAAGGGCTCATCTCAAACAAAAAGAGTATATGAAAGAATACAACATTCATCATCATCATTAACTATTTAATGGGAATGTTATGGGCCTAATAATGAACCTAAAAATGCATATTGTGGATTTTATAATTATTATATAGCAGTACATTATTGTAAGCCTTATTGTGAAAAATGTACAAGTCAAAATGATTGTACATAATGGGATAATAGCTACGATCCAAATATAATTAAATTATCTTAAGCAGATTGCGATAGTAATTAATATTTTGATAAAAATGCTTTAAATTGCTTTATATGTCCCTCTACATGTTTAACATGCTCATCTTAATTTCACTGTTTAACTTGTTAAGAATCATTTATAAATTCTAAATAAGGTTGTGTATGCAAAAACAATTAATATCAGTATTCTAATTATTGTTATGATTGTCCTATAGAATGTGCAAACTCTCAATGGTGCATGAATGCTCTTAAATTCATAACCGTATTTATTCTAATGGCTAATGCTATTGTAAAAATGGATATAATTCTTTTGATTCTGATCCAATTTGTTATAAGTGTTTAACACATTATTGTCATGTTTGTGATTAAGTTGATGGAATAAAATGTTATACTTGTTAACGTGGTTATCAATTAATTTAAAACAATTGCTTTTCTATTTGTGGTGATGGAATAAAAACTATAGATGAATAATGTGATGATGGGAATTTAATAAGAGGAGATGGATGTTTTGCTTGTAGATATGATTGCGATCATTCCTGTTAACTTTGCCATAAAGGAATCTGTTTAGAATGTTATGATGGCTACATTTTGATATAAGCTAAATGTTACACAATCTGTGGGCTAGATTAAGTTTATATATAAGGCAATTGTTAAACTAGTAATCATTTTTATAATATATTAGTTATAAATCAAACATTTCATAATAATCAATTCTTCGTTGTTTCTATTGCAAGAATTTTCTAAATAATTGTAAAAAATCATAAACTCAACATTTAAATACTCTCTCTCTAATTTAACAGAAAATTAAATAACAATCATTATTTCAAATTCTAAAATTTAGTATCATTTTTTGGCCATTATTTCTTTTAATATCAATTAAATTAATATTGCTATTGTCCTGATTCCTGAACTTAAAACACACTTAAATTCTACTTTGTTTATAATCAGTTATGACGTAACTTCAAAAAGAATTAGATTGTAATAATATCATTCATATTTCACCTAGTCACTCAAAGATTTTGAATCTTTTTAAAAAAAAAATAAGACTTTACAGAATGCTGTCGTAGAAAGAGGTAAATTCTAATTTTAAGGCTACTAAATTTTAAGGATTAAAATTTTAAAGTCATTAAATACTTTTCAGATCCAGAAATAAAAGTTATTTTTATTCACATTAAAGTTTCGCCCTTATCATTCTAAATTTTAGATAAAATGATCACACAAGCCAATAAAGAAATGATATTTCAGAAATGTCTCTATTCTAATCTGCAAAGGATTATGAAAATTCTTAAAAAAAATTAACTCATAATTGATTTTAAATCGAAATGCGGTGGGGTGTTTGAAAGGGATTAAGAACCTTAATTAAATATATGATAGGGCCTGTTAAATTGATATCAAAAAGTTGCTAATACCTTGAGATTAAACTGATATAGAAACTTTATTGGAACTAAGATTGTTAAAGATAGTATGAAGAAAATCCATTAAATATAAATATTACATAGACATAATTCTATTGAATTAAGAAATAAACATTCCTTATANAGTTGATGGAATAAAATGTTATACTTGTTAACGTGGTTATCAATTAATTTAAAACAATTGCTTTTCTATTTGTGGTGATGGAATAAAAACTATAGATGAATAATGTGATGATGGGAATTTAATAAGAGGAGATGGATGTTTTGCTTGTAGATATGATTGCGATCATTCCTGTTAACTTTGCCATAAAGGAATCTGTTTAGAATGTTATGATGGCTACATTTTGATATAAGCTAAATGTTACACAATCTGTGGGCTAGATTAAGTTTATATATAAGGCAATTGTTAAACTAGTAATCATTTTTATAATATATTAGTTATAAATCAAACATTTCATAATAATCAATTCTTCGTTGTTTCTATTGCAAGAATTTTCTAAATAATTGTAAAAAATCATAAACTCAACATTTAAATACTCTCTCTCTAATTTAACAGAAAATTAAATAACAATCATTATTTCAAATTCTAAAATTTAGTATCATTTTTTGGCCATTATTTCTTTTAATATCAATTAAATTAATATTGCTATTGTCCTGATTCCTGAACTTAAAACACACTTAAATTCTACTTTGTTTATAATCAGTTATGACGTAACTTCAAAAAGAATTAGATTGTAATAATATCATTCATATTTCACCTAGTCACTCAAAGATTTTGAATCTTTTTAAAAAAAAAATAAGACTTTACAGAATGCTGTCGTAGAAAGAGGTAAATTCTAATTTTAAGGCTACTAAATTTTAAGGATTAAAATTTTAAAGTCATTAAATACTTTTCAGATCCAGAAATAAAAGTTATTTTTATTCACATTAAAGTTTCGCCCTTATCATTCTAAATTTTAGATAAAATGATCACACAAGCCAATAAAGAAATGATATTTCAGAAATGTCTCTATTCTAATCTGCAAAGGATTATGAAAATTCTTAAAAAATTAACTCATAATTGATTTTAAATCGAAATGTGGTGGGGTGTTTGAAAGGGATTAAGAACCTTAATTAAATATATGATAGGGCCTGTTAAATTGATATCAAAAAGTTTCTAATATCTTGAAATTAAACTGATATAGAAACTTTATTGGAACTAAGAGAGTTAAAGATGGCATGAAGAAAATCCATTAAATATAAATATAATATAGACATAATTCTATTGAATTAAGAAATAAACATTCCTTATAATTAGGGGCTAGTCTTCTTCTGTTATCGGTTTTTCACTATATTTAAGATCTATGAATTTTCTCCAAAATCTAAATTAATCTAAAATTCTTCTAAGATTAAAAGAACCTGTTATTGATCTACCCCATAATGCATTGTAAGATCTGATCTTATCTTTTTTTCAAATTATTCATTTTATCAATCCAAGTGAGAGTAGAAGCTAAAAACAAAAATTTCAACTTCTATTTATAACAACTAAGAGTTTGATTGGGTTTATTAATACTATAAGTAAGGAAAACATTATTTTATAATCATTCTCAAACTTTTCTTGTTTTCAAATGATTTTATTATAATGTTGAGAATCTTTTCATAATATGAGTATTTAGAAGCCAGCAGAATTATTTTGAGATAAAAAATAGATTCTTTTGTATAATAGAAATACTTTTAAAGTATTTTAAGAAGTTTGGAAAGTTCAGTGAAATGTAAGAATGTTTTTCTTGTGAATCATCTTATGTATAAGTTACTTATTTTGTTAATAAGGTAAATTATTAATCTTTTTTAATTAATGGATATGATATAGACTTTGAATTTAAATCTGAAAATTGGCTGAAAGGTGATAATTTGATAAATAGTATATTTTCTGTTTCTCCAGACTATTCAAATTTACTATTACCAAATAATTGAATTACTACAAGTTTTGATATTTTTGTATAAAGTTAAAGAAACTTAATACAATATTTTTATATCTAAAGAATAAGATACTAATTATTCATAAGAATAGAATAAATTGAAAAGCAAAGAAATTAAAAAAATAATAAAAACTAAAAATTATATTGAGAATGGGATCAAAAAAAAAGAAGATTTTTGAGCAATCAGAAAAATAAAACAACCTGAAATAGAACCAGTACCAAAGCCATGATTATTAAATTGTTAATAACGAGAAAATAAAAATATCCATAATCATTTCTAGTTATATTGTGGTCACAGTAATAGTTATAAATCAGATTTTCGTCAACAAATTAGCATTAAATTATGTATTTCTATTAATTCAATTATAATCTGATTATATTAAATTGACTCAAGATTAACCAGAAAAAATTTCTTTGTTTCCATACTGTTATGTGACAGTTCTTTGTCTTTCAGATTTGTTAATCCATCCCAGTGTCTTTTAGAGAGATACTGCTAATCATGTCAGAATTTGATGACGATTTTCAAAGTAATCAAGAGAGTATTTAAAAGAGAATTTAGTTATTTTTAATAAATTTGATTCCTGAAAAGTTAACGTCTTGAAATAATTGTTTTGCTTATCTGAAAAACAACTTTTATAATTTCAATAAAAGCAAGATGATTAATTTAATATTGATATGAATATTAAATAGTAATCTGAAGCTATTAGAATTCTCTAATAGATCTACATATAATTTATAAAATACTTTTGAAAATGTATTTCATCATTAAAACAATATCTATTTTTAATCAATAAGAATCATTAATTACTTCTACCGATTATTCAAATAGGATCAATAAAATTTGCCTATTCCTTGTTTTCAAATTATCTAATCCTAGATTTGTATTTATAACAAAAATCTTTTCACAGAGATTAAATTATAACTCAAATGGAGGTTAATTTCATAGTAAATTTACATTAATTAATGCAAATGGAATAAAAAACAGTAAGAATATTTGAATAAATTTATATGAATATTTCATTGAAGTAATTCAAAATTCTTATTCATTTATTTAGTAATGATACCTTGAATATACTCATAAATTTTAATATTAATATAATGATATCTTTTGATATCGAATAATATTTTAGATTAATATATTTAATCAAAATTATAATTGTAAATTTTTTGTTGAGTCTAATTATTTTTTTATTTTTTTTTTTGCATTTTAGAAATCTATTTTTAATAGATAATTACAAAAACCTAAAGAAATTTCAACTGTTTCAAAATTTTTTTGATTTTGAGGATGAAAGAGTTTCATTATATTATGCTAAATAAATGAATAATTAAAAATTTAATCCTAATAAAGGAGGTTGTTTATATTAGAATTGACTATTTGTATTATAGTTCGTATAGAAAGCGGTTTGATAAGAAGTCTTATTTTTAATCTTTTTATTAAATTATAGAAAAGAATAGGACAAGAGAGAAAATAACATTGGTCGATAGAAAATTCAAAAATTAGGAAGATAATTCAATTGAAGCAAATTTTTAGGAAGAAATGCTAAATTAATCTCATAAATTTTAAAGAAATATTTATAATAAAATTTAAATTAAGAATTTATGTTTATTTTGGAATCCTTTTTTGCCAACCATTAATTTATTCTTATGAAATTATTAAAAAATAATAATTAAATAATTGGGTTAGATAAACGCACCCTAAAAATAATTTCTTTTAATAACAAATTGTTGGATTCAACCTTTTTAACATTTCATTTAAAATAAAATTTATTATTTTATCACAGATTGTGTGTTGATTTCTGAAGTAGTTTAAAATAAATAACATCAATAGCTATTTGAGTTTTAAATTAATAATGTTTGATATTTAGATGCCATTCAAATTATTCTATTCAAATTAGAGATTACTCTATTTAATCAATTTTAATTGATTAAGATTGCTTATTTGAAATAGCCTTTGTTATATGTAGGTGAATTATAAATTCTAAATATTAATCTAATTAACCTCTGAAAACAATCATTTTTTTTCATTGAAAATATCAAAATTCAAAAGATGTCTTATTCATTTACCCTTCCCTGAAAGTTAAATAAATACTTTTTCTTCATCTTCACTACTTATTCTTAGCCTTTTCCTAAAATTGTATTTCTTTGGATTTTAATCTTAGATCTCCAATCAGGATTAATAACTTAAGGGTAATCATAATTTTTAAGTGCTAATTATTGTT